TTTCTATTGTCCTTGGGTGAAGCAACTTCATTAGTTCTTTGAGGAAGGGATTAAGTATTGTCCCCTTAGATTGGAAGGCAGTGAAAGGCAAGCCCTTTCTAATTACAGTTTGTGGGTTTGTAGACAGTGTGACCAAGTCTCTGGTGCTCTGTTTACTCCCCCCTATTCTGCCTCTGGCTTCTGGTGAGGAGGAGTGTCAGTCCATATGAGGAATGCTGTGGGATGAGCCCCAAGCCCTTTTGTGACTTCTGGTTTCCCCCTTCTTTCCACAGGTCGGACAACTCTTTCAGCTTCTTCGTGTTCTTCTTTGTATTTTTTTGTCAAATAGGGATCTATGTCATCCAGTTGGTCGGCATCCCTAACCTGGGGGACAGGTGAGACCTGGGGCAGTACAGAGGGAACTGTTCTTTGGAGGCTCAACTCAGCCTCTCTTGCCCTATTTGCCAGCCTCTGAGGGCCCCTCTTCCACCATAGCAGGGAGAGTGGTAACTGGGCCAGCTTGGATCTGTCTTCAAGCCCCCTCTCCAGTTCTTTACCAGTAGCCACTCACTGTCTTGCCTTGTTCACCACTTTCTGGGGTGAACATGGCTTGAATCCTTAGGCTACCTGGCTGTGTCCTACACTGGATTACAGCCTCTTCCTTTTTTCTTACCACACCCTCCTAGAAGCTGGTGCTACTTCCACAGGTTCCACACATGCCCTTGGGTTTGGGCAGCTGCTGATGGATGCCCTGGTCTTTGCAGACCCTGAGCTGTGACTTTCCTGGAGGCCCTGTAACCTAAGGAAATGGAGCCCTAGCCTCTCCTGGGTGGCTCCTCTGGCTGCTCTCTTGGAGCAGACAGCTGGCTTGAGTTTCCTGGGTGCTACAATCCTCCACTCAATATTAGTTTCAGAAATAAAAGCTGATGGTTGATGTTTTCCTTTCTGCCTCAGTGCACAGGGAACATTACAGAAAGGTCAGGCTGGCACTTGGCTAAAAGCCTGAGCCTGGAAGGGCTGCACTATTTTGGTCTCATCTCTCCAGTGGAGCTGGCAAGTACAGAGCAGTAGGGAGGGATTGAATCACCTTGAACTCAGAGCCAAGTGCACACTGCCTTTCCACCACCCCTCTTCCTTCTCACCATGTTTATAACCTACCCCTTTTGTCTGTATATGGTGACCCAATTACATTACTCATTACCCTAAGTGAGATCCTGGTTGAAAGGCTATGATTACTAACGGCTGTTTGCACCCAGGACAGGGATGACTGTGCCCCTCACTGCCCTGCCTAGGTCTACCTGGATGAGTTCTGCAGCCTCCAGCCTCCCAATATCTTTCTCATCTCACCTCCTAACACTGTGTTTTGATTGTAAAATATGCATAACATAAAATATACCATTTTATGTACCACTTAAACCATTTTAAAAGATACCTCTGTTTTCTTCTAAGTTTTATAGTTTGAGTTACTATTAGGTCATTGATCCATTTTGAATTAATTTTTGAAGTAAGGAATCCAACTTAATTGTTTTGCATGTGGATATCCAGTTGTCCCAGCACCATTTTTTTATGAGTTCTTTTTAAAAAATCTTCATTGTTGAAAGTATTACATTGACCCCCTCCAGGCTACCCCTGCCCTCCACCCAGGCCCTTATTGTTTGTGTCCATGGGTTACACATATGTGCATACAAGATCTTTGGTTGATTACCTCCCACCCACACACTCTTCCCTGCCTTCGCTCCGAGAGATTCCCCACTCTGTTCAGTGCTTCCATGTCTCTGGATCCATTCCATTCATTAGTTTATTTTTTTAAGTAGATTCCATATATCATGTGATACTTGTCTTTCTCTGACTGACTTAGTTCACTTAGCATGATACTCTCCAGGTCCCTTCTTTGCTGTCTTAAAGGGTAAGAAATTCTATTTTTTTTTTTTTTTTTTACAGCTGCCTGGTATTCCATGGTATAAATTTACCATAGCTTTTTTATCCAGTCATCCACTGATGGGCTCTTGGGCTGTTTTCAGATCTTAGCTATTCTTTCTGATTGGTGTTTCGGGTTTCTTAGGATATATTCCTAGAAGTGAGATCACTGGGTCAAAAGGCAGTTCCATATGAGGAAACTCCATACTGTTATCCAGAGTGGCTGCACCAGTCTGTATTCCCACCAGCAGTGTACTAGGATTCCCTTTTCTCCACATCCTCCTCAGCACTTGTCATTTGTTGATTTCTTGATGGTAGCCATTCTGACAGGTGTAAGGTGATACCTCATTGACATTTTAATTTGCATCTCTCTGCTGATCTTTGAGGATATTTTCATATGCCTTTTGGCCATCTGTATATCCACTTTGGAGAAGTGTTTAGGTCCTTTGCCCATTTTTTAATTGGATTGTCTGTCTTCTTTCTGTTAAGTTGTAGGAGTTCCTTATATATTTTGGATATTAACCCTTTATCAGATGTATAACTGCCAAATATATTTTCCCATACAATGGGCCTTTTTTCGTTTTGTTGATGGTTTATTTTTTTATTTTTATTGATTTCAGAGAGGAAGGAAGAGGGAGAGAGAGAGAGAAACATCAATAATGAGAGAGAGTCATTGATTGGCTGCCTCCTGCACGCCTCCTACTGGGGATCGAGCTGCAACCAGGGCATGTGCCCTTCAGTGGACTCAAACCTGGGACCCTTCAGTCCGCAGTCCGATGCTCTATTCACTGAGCCAAACTAACTAGGGCTGTTGATGGTTTCTTCTGTTGTGTAGAAGCTTTTTCTTTTGATATAGTCCCATTTGTTACATGGGCCACGAAGTTTCAATCGCACTGTACGTGCGGTGCGTGCCCGCACGTGGTATTTTGTGGAAGAGCCACACTCAAAGGGCCAAAGATCCCCATGTGGCTAGCGAGCTGCGGTTTGCCAACCACTGCCCTAGGAGATGTATTGGTAAACGTATTGCTATGAGAGATGTCTGAGATTTTGGTGCCTATGGTTTCTTCTAGCACTTTTATGGTTTCACCTCTTACTTTTAAGTCTTTTACCCATTTTGAGTTTATCCTTGTATATGGTATAAGTTGGTGATCTAGTTTCATTTTTTTGCATATACCTACCCAATTTTCCCAACATCACTTATTGAAGAGACTCTCTTGACTCCAAAGAAAGCTGTTGCTTCCTTTGTCAAGTATTAATTGAGTGTATTGGCTTGGGTTGATTTCTGGGGTCTCTGTTCTGTTCCATTGATCTATATGCCTCCTCTTGTGCCAGTACCAGGCTGTTGTGATTAGGGTGGCTTTGTAGTATAACTTGATATCTGATATTGTTATTCCTCCAACTTTGTTCTTCTTTCTCGAGATTGCTACAGCTATTCGGGGTCTTTTGGTTCCATATAAATTTTTGGAGTATTTGTTCTAGACCTGTGAGATATGCTGTTGGTATTTCAATAGGGATTGCATTGAATCTGTAGATTGCCTTGGGTAGTATGGACATTTAAATGATGTTAATTCTACCAGCTCATGAACACGGAATATTCTTTCACTTGTTTATATCTTCTATCTCTTTTTTCAACTTCCTGTAGTTTTCTGAGAACAGGTCTTTTGCCTCCTTGGTTAAGTTTATTCCTAAGTGTCATATTTTTTTTGTTACAATTGTAAATAGAAGTGTTTGCTTAGTTTCTCTTCCTGAGAATTTATTATTGGTGTATAAAAAACCATCGATTTTTGGGTGTTGATTGTGTATCCTGCTATGTTGCCAAATTCATTTATTAAATCTAGTAGTGTTTTGGTGGAGTCTTTAGGGTTTTGTATGTACAATATCATGTCATCTGTGAATAATGGGAGTTTTACTTCCTTCTTTCCAATTTGGATGCCTTTTATTTCTTCTTCTTGTCTGATTGCTGTGGCTAGGACTTCCAGTACTATGTTGTATAAGGGTGGTGAAAGCGGACATTCCTTTCTTATTCCCGTTCTTAGGGGAAATGGTTTTAGTTTTTACCCATTGAGTATGATGTTCGCTATAGGCTTGTTATATATGGCTTTTATTATGTTGAGATATGCTCCCTCTATTCCCACTTTGCTGAGAGTTTTTGTAAAAAATAGGCACTGAATTTTGTCAAATGCTTTTTCTGCATCTATTGATATGATCATGATTTTTGTCTTTCAATTTGTTTATGTGGGCTTGTTTGGGTTCTTCTTGCTTGGAACACTCTGTGCCTCCTGAATTTGTGTGACTTTTTCCTTCACTAGGTTAGGGAAGTTTTTGTTTCTGCCATTATTTCTTCACATGTCCTCTATCCCTTGCTCACTTTCTTCCCTTCTGGCACTCCTATGATACAAATATTGTA